ATTTGCTGCTGTTGTCAAGTTAAGGAAAGGAAATGATTGAGCGGAACACATTTACAAAATGTTTAGGATAGAAACGATAGAATTTCCGTGTAGTCACTTTTTCTTACAGGGAACATCTTTTGACATCTGGAAGACAGCTGCTTACTTTGATTGGATGATGATGGTCTCTTAGCGTAAATAACATGGAAGAGAATTTGCTAATCTACTTGAATACTACTACATCCTTGAGACTTTACATCTATTCCACAGATCACATTATTTTACTCTGAAGAACTTGACTTTGAAGAGTTTTGGAAATGCTTTGCTGAAATGAAATGTTGCTCTGGGCAGGCTCAAAAAGACGTTTTTGATTCATAGTTTCTGAGTTTGTGTGATGAGATCTTTTATCAGCCACTGATGCTGGCCGACAAGTCTTACAGCGTCTCTCTGTGCCGGAGTTTTATTACACTTAACATGAAAGCGACCAGAATTTGAATAGTACGAGCAATTGCAGTGCGCGATCTGCAACTTTTTGAATGTTGGTTTTCTGGTGGACTTCCGTTGTACTACCCGTGTTTGAACTGACTCTAGATGCCTTTGTCGTTTAATGTGGTTGTGTTGACAGTGTCATTGATTTGATGACGTATATGGTACTTAAAGATCCCTTTGGGTTGTGGATTGACTTAGTTGAACCGAGCTGGTTGGGAAAAGGGATGCATATTACTCCGATTTCTCCAGGAATTGATTTCCTGTAATAATCCTAACTCCTATATCCCCGAAATCATTCCTATCCTCTAATGTTGCATCTCTATACCCACTCGGCAAATAACTTCATCATTGGATGCGTCAGGAGCGTGGAAATTGATGATTGCTCTAACCTGCACAAGATGATTTCTTGTGAACCCAGTTGCTATTGACAGCCATTTAACTATGTGGAAGTCTTTAGTAACTTATCTAGTGATGGTAGAAATAGCTGAATCTCTGTCCTTCCTGTTTTGCAGGATAGTGTCAGTGAGCAATGCTTTTCTCCAGGTTGTTTTGAAACAATATTCTGAAGTTTGTGTTGGAGGGGCCTCTCGTGTTGACATGCTTGCCCACAGAAACATCTCTTTGTATTGCATTTCCATTACCTCAACCTTCTTTTTGATGATCATCACCCATGTCTAACCCCAAGTTTTCTCCCTTTTTTTTCTATGTGTAATTTTGACTTGCCGTCAATTTTGTTGATGGTTGCGTGCTACATCTATAGGATCCTAAGGCTTTCATGGACGCTTACGAGCGTGGAGGCCGCTACGACAACCAACGAGGAGACATGATGGACGATATGGCCAATGGTGGTGGCCGTAATCGATCTCGCTGGGGTGCTCCTGAAAGGGCTAGGGTTGATGACTACCAGGCGAAGAGGAGACGCTTTTAATGAAATTGTAAATTATTGACTATTAGGAGGCTTTGCTCACATGAGCTTTCAACCTTCTCAATGGGACGGAGTTTATCTATCTAGGACATATTTACAGCACTCTCATTAAAATATATGAATTAAATTTAATGCAGATTATTGCAGTCATCTCTTGAGTATATACTTCATATAGTGTGTAACTTGGTGTTAAATGACTTGACTATTTGGTCATGATTAAAATTAGGATGAGCTACTAAGATAGTTCTGATAGTGTTAGTGGTATGCAATCTTGCAATATGAATCATGCATGATCATGGTCTTTCAAAAGGAAAAATTTATTGTTTTCAGATTATTCTAACTTTTTTCTGATTGCTACTTTATTGTATGGTAGTGTTACCACTAGTTGAATGACAGTACTGTTTGTGTATAAGAATTCTTATCGAGCTGATCAAGTTTATCTTATGTTTTATTTTTTATTACAACCATTTTGATTGTATGAGCCAATTTATCTGCTATTTAAATAAATATAGACATTTATCTCTAATTTCTCTATTAATACATAGCTGAGTACTATGTTGTTGGATTTTAATAATGGAAGGAAATTATGTTCGCGGACACCAAGAAGATAATGGTATTTTCATGGTCATTTCCTGCCTGTCGGGAGGGTTCTACATGACGAAATTGGCTTCTTGTGGACCATTTGTTTTTTTCTTATTACAATGAGTTGTTGGTATACCTCCATAAACTTACCAGGGGCTGCATTACTAGGATAACTTAAGGTACATAGTGACTAATTTTGGTACCAAGTTTTCCATTTGCTGCTCTTGATCTCCTCCTGCAGGTGGCATCACTGCTTATCCCATCAATAGTAAGTTTCCTTTCTATGATGGATCAGCATTTCTCTTTCAACCTAGTGAAATGATGAATGAAAAGTGATTGCTGGTGACTTAATTACTCTATTTGGGGTTTCTAACTTTATTCTCAGTGTGTTGGTGGGCAATTTGTAAATTTTATCTCAATTCATCTTGTATTTAAGGATGTTGTGTAGCTGTTGTATCTCACGTCCTGTTTCTATTAGTGCAAGTTGACTTTACCCCAACATTAATATCTGCTGAACTAAAAGAGACTTAGCAAACTGAATGCGTATTTCTGGGTCTCTCTGTCTGCAGAGAATGTTTTCCTTGTGCTCAGGAAGTGTTTGGTTTGGGAAAAAATTATCACCAGGGTGTTCAAGTTTGGGGTCAATTGTTTCCTCAAATTTTACATTGGCTTATAAAATCCAACACCATCAATTCATTGTGATGTTTGTGATAGATGGTCCTCAAAAAGCAAGCAAAGCTGTAGCTAATTCTGATGTCTGTTCTGTGGGGTGTTTCTGCTACTAGCATTGTTTACTCCACAGAACCCCTGTATTTCTTAAGCTACAGCTTGCACTCTAACTCTGAAGAACAGTTGCTAACACTACTACTGCCTGTAAGGCTTGAAGAAAGTTTTAAAGTCTTGATCTCAACACATACTTTGTGTCCTGTGTTGACCAAGTCTTCAATACAATTTTATTATATCTTCTCTCTTTCAAAGTGAGGTAACACAGGGAAAAAAAATATCTCAATCTAAAGCTTTTTATTTTCATTTTTTTTTTTTTTTTATATCAGAATTAGATGTAATCAAACCAATTTCTGCTCAAAAAAAAAAAAAAAAAAACCCATGAAGGGTCCAGTCTTGGCACTGGGTATATTCTTCCTATTTTAGCCCTTCATGAACCCTGAACTCTTTGGTGTCCTTTGGAAGCTTAACCAGTCCAATTGTCTACCAATGTGATTGGTTGTTATGGATGATGCATCATTCATGGTGAGTATTCACATGTGAGAATGATCACTCTCATTCCTCCCTGCGTAATAAAATAAGTGTCTTTTAAACTGGGAGGAGGGATCGGCTATTGCCATACTTGAACAACATGTATGCTGCAGTTGCTCTCTTTGGAGGCTTCTATGGACCTTCTTCAGTTTCATTTTGGAGAAACTTGAACCAAAGGTATTCATAAGAAGCAAAATTTTCGTATCATCTGAAATTGATTGACAATCGATGGAGTTTCGTGATTGGGTTTTTTATTCCTTGAGAATTCCTTGTCTCTGTTGGTGCTGCAACATTTCCTCCGATTTGTTTGCTTCAATTCCTGTGCAGCACTGACTACTTATTGTGGAACCTCTCTTCTATATAATCAAGTTAGGCTTCTTGGCGATGTATTCACCTGTGTGTGCCCCATTGTTAGCGCAGTACTTATGTGTGGTGATTGAGTCTTTATCCATTGCAATATAGCTCTTCCTCTTCCACAATTCCTACATTCTCATACACAACACCTAAAACAACAGCTATGTAAATTTAAACGCCGTTACACTACAGCTCTACTTACTTCTCTTACATTTCTACTAGGGACTTTGATCTGCACATGTGCATAGTTAGGTATTAGTAGGGAACCATCATCTCCGTAAAACATTTGAAACTTTTTTGTTTGAGTTTTTCCTTTTGAGGGTAGTGTGAAATTTCGGTAGTCTTGCTTACAGATCTTCATTCTAATATGGTCTCAGCACGATGCTGTGCCTAATCTCTGAATACGGCCAGTTAAAGGCTTTTTTGAGGAGTTTGTAAGGCCCATTATGAGGTGTGGGACATACATATGTGGTATCGTGACTTACAGAAAAGTGAAAAGTTTCCCTGCAATTGTTGATATTTGCGGGGCAGCATTACTGTTAACAAACTGCCATGTAATATTACATTCCAACCCAAAGAGAGTGTATACAGCATGGTGCTGTGGTGCTGAACCCAAGCATTTGCTATGCTTACATTTTGACACTCATCAGAAGTGATTCGCCAATCCTTCAACAGAAAACATAGTTGTAATCAGTTACAAATATATCTGAGTTTACAAATATTCCTTTTAATGTTTCAGTTGGACAAAGAAATCCCAATTCTTAAATTATGAGCACTTCTTGTTAATCAAAAGAAATCATAGACCGTTTATTTACAGATTATTTTGGTAGTTTAAGCTTATTTTTTTCTATATCAATTTTTTCTGCTGCAGGTGCTGCTTGTTGGTTGTGGCTGATACCACTAGTGTGAAATTATGGTGAGATTAATTAATATTATCAGATTTTGGTTAGTTAAGATTATATTTTAACCCTGTGCCTTTTTCTAAATTTTTCAGGCAACTCCTTGCTTTGAACCGAAGTATTGCCAGGATTTGTGATGTCCTCCCAATACTGAAGATATTGATGAGTCTCAATTCACCTTCAACAAACAGGATCTCAATGTAAGTGTATGAATAAACCAGAAAACAGTATGCTAGTGTCTTTAGCAGAGTTATGACGTGTGAACTGTTTTTATCTAGGTGCATAAGGACGAGATGATTGAAGGCTTTGAACAGTACTTCTAAGAATGATGTTGGTAAACTTGTGAGGTGTTTCTCTCTAAGTCAAGTTGTAGTTCTACACCACTTGGCTATTTGATTGTTTGAGGACAAGTGGTGTTTGTGCAGTGGGTAATTTTAAATAAAAAGACAAAGTTTATAGCATTCTTCAACATTTTGTTTGACGTTTTCCTTCTAAGAAGTCAGTAGCATTGTCTGTTAAAGAATAAAGAATAGATATTTACGTATGCTCTCATTTCTTATGACTGAACTGTGTCCTATTTTAGCATGCATGACTCACATCATTCAAGCACAAAAATATTTAAATTATTTTAGTACTTCTTTTGTTATGTATGAATAGTCTCTTGTAAAAAGCTGTGGGTCACACTAGTCATAGTAGCCTCAGCAACAGATTTTACAAACATAAGAGGGAAGGTTGATTGGTGAATAGAGGTCATGAATTTTCTCATACATCAGCAGCATGATTCCAATTGTATTTACGTACTGGTCCATTTGCTTTCGTATCTTTACAGAGCTAACTCAATTGACTTGTGGCCCCACAACCAAAAGACTCAGGAGCTTCCTATTATGTCTTAAAGCCTTGCATTTTGAAATGCATTGCCATTGGATTCTATTCACTCTATTTGACAGATGTAACACATTCTTAGCAGTTAATTACGGACCACACCACATCTTCTACTGTCTTCTTGCAATGCAACTGAAGATTTTAGTCATTTCTGAATAATTTATTACATGAAGTATCTTATCAATATGGCAACAGCAAAGTTACTTGCAATACATGCACAAGGAAAGTAAGAAGAATGGACAGACTTTGTGTATCATTTAAGCTTGAGGACTCAACTGAACTGCTGATACTTCTGAAATTGACTACATATCATATTCCTCTCAGTGAAATGTGAAGCTTTGATAAATAGAGTGGTCTCCTTGGAGAGATAAGAAAGTTTTTGTTCTCTATTTGAATCACTACACACATTAAGCTTTCTGACAGGTTATATTATTTTGCTGAGATGCAATCTCTCAGCCTTAGAAATATTATCACAACGTTTTAATAACATAGTTGTCTTAGCAAAGTAAATCATAGCTTAAAAGTTCTAGAAGAACCACCATTTTATACCCTTATTTACAGAACATAGTTCTTAGAACAATTTTTTTAGAGCATATTTTTGGGCTGTCTTATACCCAGATGCCCCATAATTAATGATCACTTGTAGCATTTTGGCCTCTCCATTGACTTACAATGCTGATCAACTTGAAAAGAACAGTCTCCAATTTATGTATACTGCTTAAAAAAATATTAATTGAAAATAACAGTTTTCTACAGTGGTGCATATAATAGTTTCTGAATCGTTTGCTTCTTCTTGTGTCTTACAGTCCTATCCAGTCTGTGCTTTGCACATAGGCTCTATCACGACCCGAAACTAAAAAAATCAATGCAGGCAATTCGGGCATCCTTTCAACAACCTGTCCCAACACAGAAGTATTTTATCTTGAATGTATGTTTAATGGGTTTAAGTCATTAAAGCTCCAACTCTCTTAATCTACCTAAGTATTGTCTTCCATCTGTTGGCCAAATCAGAAACATTTTCATTTTCCAGACTGGATCTGTGTGAGCACCTTAGTCTTGGTAGATAAAACTCATAAAGCACATATTGTTTTCTAATGTACATAAACATATAAGATTCATTCTACATTTCAATTGCATTAAAAAAAAGGAAGAAGTAGAATAACTTTAACTACACACTGGCTCAAAAATAAATAAATAATAAAGCAAGGAAAAATTTGCTTTTGAGACAGTGAAGGCTTGGCAGAATGAAGACATGTGTTTAGGCCTTGAAATAGTTAAGCTGCTGCATCTCATCGTCTGAAGTCAAGACCAAATTTAAAAAAAAAATATTTGTGCACCCGAGGAATAATTGATATTTCCTTCTCAATTGAATACCTTTCATGACTTATATCTCTAAGGTTAGATGATATGATGAACCAATGATGTGAATGTAGTATGGCAGTTTTCCTTATCTTTCAAGAGACTCGGTAGATAATTTAAATATTCATTTGGAAAAGAAAATAACGTAAATAATGACACAATTTTTAAATGAGTTAAATGACCCTTCTAATAAAACCATTAAGATTGCAATCCCAGTAAAATGGTTATAAAATTAATAGGGTCGGGACAAACAAAATAAAAGGGTTTACTAATAATAATTTTTGAATGATTTTCAAATGGGTGGCTATCTTTTGTTGCATTTTTCATTTGCCATAGAATAATTTTAAGTTCTTATTTACACATATCCACAGTTAATACAATTTGCTTTCAAAACCTCATAACATGTGGAGTTTCATTCAAACAACCTCCTTTCCAAATCATTACTGCTATGTTTAAGTAGTTGCAGGAACTGGTCTATCTTCCATATTTAGTACAAGAACTGTTTCAACTTTGTCTCTCAACCAAGCCAAAACTGCGGGATCTTCGCTAGTAACACTTCGCTCATCTCCAGAAAATGCAGAAAAACTGTCATCCTGAAAAACATTGAGAAGGAAATCATTTGAAAAGTCCAAGTAGGATTGATAAAATGGATAACAGTCTCTGTGATGTCCAGGAGAATTTTTTAAATTTTATACTATGATATTAAAAGTGTAACAGTAAATAATTGTTGCAAAGATTGCCAGAAACCTAATTTTCAATAAATAGTAATCTGAAATAGTTTTTAAAACTGGCATCAACTTTTAGTACGTACCTTTGATATTCTATCTATCTTAAATTAAATCCAAACTAAATCTTACCTGTCGTACAATGAACACCAACTTGTTGAGTTCCAGTTTGGGCACCTCCATTATGTCGTCTACCCTTATAGCCCAGTCTACTTCAATAGGTCCCCACTGGCGACATCTCTCCAACAGGAACACATGTCTGTATCAAAGAATTATCTTGTCAAAAACACATACAATTTTTTTTTTTTCATGTCTGTTCAAGAATTTCTATCTACAAATATAGATTAGTGCTGCGCAGCTAATTGGCACTACTGCTCTAAATTAGCCCTTTTTTTCTTTTTGGAAAAGAAATATTTTGTGTGGCCCTGTGCCGCTTACTGTAGGGTGATGAGCATGGTGGTCTTGCCGTCCGCGGCCAGCGCGGCGTGCGCCCAATACAGATCAGAGTCGGCATAGTGGCCCCTGCTGAGCGTGGACAGCAGGTGCTGCCCGGTGGCCTCGTACACAGAGAAGGGCCGCAGGCCTTGGTAGGGGTTCAGGTGGCGGGGCAGCCTCGCCCGCATCACCATGTCTTCCCCCATCTCGGTAGCCCTGCGGGGGATCATATTTGAACATCAAGCACCCTGTCTGTCAGACTGAATGTGATGCTTGTTGTGCTTGTGTGCTCACCTCCGAATACCATCGTGCGCCGTGGCGATACAGTCGACCACGCCGCCACCCGGCTTAGTCATAAGACCCAGGAACCCTTTGCCCGTGCCCCGGAAGAAACCCTCGACGCCTTCCTGTGGCGCTCCTGAAAGATGTGAAACGCCAAGAGGGTCAATATGTTGGGGGTGCGAGGCTGCGTCTGCAACAAGTTTCAAGATTTTACCAAGTGATGGCTTCAGCACGACTCCGGACAGGCCCATGAGAACACCCATAGAGAAGGTCTTGCTCGCCGTCCTCGCCAGTTCCGGTAAGTCCGTAGCTTGCTGCAGACAGAAACGGCGCTTCTGGAAAGAAAAAAACAGAGGGTAAGCCCTCGGTAACTCTCCTTTTTTTTTGGGGGGGGGGGGGGCTGTAGGGTGCAAAATTTAGTACCTTTTTGTATTCGTCCTCGAATGTGAGGTTGGTGAGCATGGCTCCCAGCGAGGGGGCGAGAAGCGAGAGACCGCTCGCCTCCGCGCCCGTCAAGTTGCCTAGCAGCGCCTGCGCCGCCCGTGACAGGTCCTCGGCGAACTCGTCGGGGGACTCGATGGTCCCCTAGAGCACAATTTCAAAGATCGTAACGTATACTGTATATCAACATATCTGTACCTCCACCGACAAAGACACCGTCACCCTTTCCCCCCTCACCATGTAAGGCTCGTAGAAGAACTCGCCGAATCCGTCCGTGAAGTCGCTGACGAGGCCGTAGGGGTTCCCGAGCACGTCCAGGCCCAGCACCATGACGTGCACCTGCTGCACCAGCTGGGCGTAGTAGTGGCGCTGCGCGTCCCCGGCCACGTCCCGGCACGTCGCTTGCACGCCCTTGCGCTCGAAGTAGGGCAGCCTGCAAGGAAGAGAGTATGTGACTGACGTGACAGCGGAGAGAATACTACTTCTACGAGTGAGAGAATGGGCCACGTACTTGAGGCGGACGTTCTTGATCTCGGCGGCGGAGGGCACCAATGCGTTGAACACGTGGTCCACGATGGCCCTCTTGCCCGCCAGGCTCCGGCCGCCGGTGCGCGCCGAGCCGCGCAGGAAGAGACTGAGGCGGATGCGCAGCGGTGACAGGTGCACGCTCTCGATGACGGGCCGCGGCATCGCCTCGCGAAGCTTCTGCGGGCGGAGGAGCCAGGACGTGTCACAGTCACCAACCATACGATATACGTATACGATACGACCGAAGTCACTGGTGAAAAGTGAAAAGGGCGTAAGTCGACTGCAAAGTCCGTGGACTTATGCCCTTTTCACTTCCCACCAGTGAAGTATCTAGTTCTTTGTTCGGGTATTGCACTCACAACGCCCAGGAAGTGCACCGGGACGTAGCTGCGCGCCACGTCCTGGCGGAGCCCCTCCAGCAGGCGGTGCTGGTCGTCGTCTGGGATGGGTCGACCGGGCGGTGCGGTGGCGGCAGCCCAGGACGCCAGGAGCGCGTCGAGGAAGTCGCGCTCGAGCTGCACGCTGAACTCTTGCACCACCACCTTGACGTACTTGTAGACGTTCTGTCGGTAGGCGGGGCGCGCTCGCCGCAGCACCAGCAGGTCGACGCAGGGCTTGAGCAGGGCGCGTCTAGCCGCTTGCGCGGGGGCGGGGGCGGGGGCGCCGCTGCCGGGGGCGGGGCACAGCACGGTGGGGAAGTGCGCCGACGGCTGCTGGTTGTCGAGCTGGAGGCAGGGCAGCAGGCAGCAGTGTCGGACATGAGGCGGTTTAAAACTTGGGCGTCCAGTCGCTGCTCAGTCGCGATGGCGGCGTGGGGCTTACCTGCAGTCGGTGTATGCTCATCCTGCAGTAGGTGAGGTGTTCGGATCGACGTAATTGCATCCAGAAGGCGGGGTTGTACCGTCGGCGCAACTCTCCGTAGAACGGCTTCGTCATGTACATCTTCTCAAAGTCGACCTGGACGTGGATTAGGGCAGTGAGTTCATGTCTGTACTGCTTTAACTAAACCATATCTGAAAAGTGAAAACTTTGCAAAACACGTAACCAAAGCCCCAGGTGCCTGACTAGCTCCGCCCACTTCCGTGGTTAGGCTGCCCCGCGTG